TATATATATATATATATATATTAAATTTTGACAAAAACTAAAATAGATAACTTGAAAATATTTTTACTCTTCACAAAATTAGTTGATTTTGATTTTAGTCCCTATGATCTTTTTTTATTGTTTCTCTTTAAAATTGAAATCATTGTTTTTAGTCTATAATTTTTGTATGATCATTTTTAAATACTTTTGTTTATTAAAAGATTAGATGAACATCTTAAGTGTAACATACGACTATTAATGATATCGTGTCAATGTTTGACACCTCTAAAATTTCGTATAGATCATTAAAATAATTATTATTTATCTATCTTAAAATTGTAACACTATGAGTCGCGATATTGTTACATTACTCTTGGTTGTTTTATGTTGTTAGATTGAGTTGTCAGTGTTGAGAGATTTGAGGGTTTGAGGATCCCTTTTCAGCTTTAGTGGTGTTAAGAGGGAATTCTCTAGGCATACACCCAATTTGACCTCGGAAGGAAGAGTGTATAAGGTTTATATTCTGAACAAAACCTTGTAAACTCATTTTCCTCAGCTTTCTAAAAAAAGGATTATAGAGAGAAGGCCTCTAGTCTGTGAACTCTTTTTTTCTTAATCTTATTCTCTTATTCTTCCAACTCCTTTCTAATTAAGATGTGTTGTTTGTGATTCAGGTAGTAGAAAATCTTGAATCAACTTGTTGTTTTGTTGTGGAGCCTCAATCGTTCTTCTTCTTCTACCTCGAAACCGAGCTACCCTTAGTAAGGGAAGCTAGATTTATATTTTCCTTGTTGTATGAGGAAGATGTTGGTGTTGAATGTTGTTTTTATTTCAAACTAAAATGGTTGAATTGATGAAAATGGTGAAGAGATGTGTGAAGGTTGAGATTGAGGTTGAGTTGCATGAAGGAGGAGATATGTTGATCTGCCTATGTTATTGTTGCATGTTGCTTTTTGTGCATGATTTGAGTTGTTTGAGTTGAGTATAAAACATTATCTCTTGATCCATGTGTTAGATTTCTATTGGATTTTAGGTTGTGGCTCAAAATCAAGTTCTGCATATGCAAAATTTTAATGTCACGTTGGGTGCCCCTTCAAAGCGCCAAGCGTTGTTTTAGCTTAAGGCTCTTTGTCTCAATCACGTTAGGCGTAGGATTGATGATGTTGGACGTGAGGAGAGAGACTTCTCTCAAGTTGGAATGGAGTTAGGCATGGTTGAATGGTGTCAAGTGTGGATGCCCTGAGTGCTCTCTAACTTAGTGACGTTGGACCCAAAGTTGTGTGACATCTAGCATGGTCCAACCAAAGCTCTTTGTCTGGATTTCACTAGGTACTAAGGTGGTGATATCAGGTGAAACTCAAGCAAACTCTGCTTGAGATACGGCTAAGCGTGGTGTTTTACCACGCCAGGCGCGAGGTCTCAAGGGCCTTTACCTTGGTCGCGTTGGGCATAGGTTGCATAACATCAAGCATAGGCAAGACAAAAAACTCTCTACCTAGATGTTGTTAAGCGCAAGGTGAGTAATGTTGGACGTTAGTTGCTAAAAATAACATGATGATATGGTTGATAATGTGTTGATTTCTTGTTGATTTAAGTTGTTACATTCCAATATAATGAATGATTTATAGAGATGACGTAGTATATGATGACTATGTTACGAGTTGTTATATAAGGAGTAGATGTGTGATGTGAGACATGTGTTGACCATGTTGTATGTTGGTTGTGTAGTTGAGTTGAATATATAATGTGTCGTTAAGATGTTAGTTGTTTATAGAGTTGAAAATGGGTTGTGAGATGTAAAGTTATGTGTTAATTTTGTTGTCGTGTTGTTGAACTGTGTTGACCACTTAGAACTATAGGAGATGTTTTTGAAAGTTGCAAATCTCATTGTGTGAATATTGTGTTGTGGTGCTCCGAAAGTCCAAATTTTTTGAAAACCCTTCCTGGTAAATTAACCCTTTAAGTGGGTGTTGTTTGTTTCTCCTTTAAGACTTTATTGGTATTGTGTGTGGACAAGGTCGAGGCATACCTATGTGAAGCAGCCATAGTATAATGGTCAGGTCGAGCTATATTGATTACAAGTGACCAACTAAGTAAAGTACAAAGTTAAAAACTTAATTACTAATAAAGTATCGAAAGGTTGTAGTATTTGAACGATAGTTGGTGGACTAATCTCATAGAAGGCTTGATTAAGTTAGCTAATATCGTGGTAGGTCCGTATCCAACTGTTTTATCTGAGAAATTAAGTTGTTGTGTTGTGAATATATATCTAATTTATTATTGATTAAGCAAGTCCAAAAAAATATCCTCTGTTGTTGGTTCGATAAGATCAAACCACTTAAACTAATCACTCCATATTGCAAGAGATCTCCTAGTTGAAATATGTGACAATGCATATAATTGTGTGTGTTAAACATATGATGTGTTCAGTTGGTTGTGTTATTTATATATGTTGACTGAGATGATCTATGTTGCTATGTTGAATCAGAGTTGTATTATGTTGATCTATATTGTATATTGTGTTGTTTTGTCGTTGTGTTGTTAAAGATAAGATGGTGACGTGATGTTCCTATGATGTTTTTATGTTGTTTGTTTTTACTCTAACTTATCCTTGCATATTTTCATGTGGTGTAGACTATGATGATTGTACGTGGTATGGGAGTAGAGTAGGGATAGAGTTGGTGAGTTGATGTCCTAGTGACATAGGAGCTGGAAGATATTTTGTTGACTACCTCGAGGTGGCATGCTTGTATAGATAATGTTGTTGCTTGATTGTAAACTTAGGATGTATAGTTTACCTTTATTAGAGTACTGTATTTATATTGCATCTTTGTATTTAGTTGATTTTCTTTATATGTGTGCAGTATAATACATGTTCTAATATTTGTAAACTTATAATCTTAAATTAAATATTTTCTGTTGCTAGTAGCTGTGTGGTACAATGTAGGAGTCAAGCCAGATTGTTACAAAAATAAATCAATAAAGACCAAAGATAATGATTTTAATTTTTAAAAGGATGAAAATTAATTTTTTTTATGGGAATCAAACAAAATTTATTTATTTTACTCTCATCAAAACAATGTTTACAAAGAAGAATGAAAAATAAAGAAAAAATTTATAGAAATCAAAATTAAAACTTCCTAATTTTATAGGTTCTAGAAACATAATTAAGCCAAATAAAAAATAAAAAATTTAACTAAATATTTTTTTAAAAATGACATTATACATCATAATAATATTAAAATAATAAAATTTACTAGTCACTATTTACCTAATTTTAATTTATATAAAAAGAAATTATTAATAAAATATAAGAAATTAATTATATATACAACCATGATTAAAAATGAAGAATAGTAAAATTTAAAAATTAAAAATAAATTATATATTTTTATAAAATCATGATTATAAAGAAATTATTGTGTTTTTTTTATCCAAGGGAATTCAACATTAGATATCAAGGGAGTTTACAATATTAACATACTTTCTTCAACCAATTGAGCTAGACTCTCTTGCTAAAAAAATTAATATGAAACTTTCAAAAATATTTTTCAGTGGAGAAACTCTTAAAAATCCTTATAAACATGTATGTAAATAAAATCTAAATATACATAAATTGTTTATAAGTTTTTTTAAATAAGGTCAAGATCATTTTTTAAAAATATTTAAAGTAGTTGTTAGTTATTTCATAATATAAAAAGTTTAGTTAAT